GGAAAACCATGGCAATGTTTTAGAGAAAATCAGTTATAGTTGCAGTTGTGTAATTAACTTGTTTTATATTTTACTGTTATAGTTCACGGTAAGGATCTTTGGAAAGACATTAAAGACCAAAGAGTACCAGTGAAACCTTGTTCGTAATTTTTTGAAGTCTAGTAGTGCACAACTCCTATGTTTAAAAGGAATGACAATGTCTCCATCTCCAGCAATTTCTGCACCTAGATACAAATGAATACACGTTCTCCAACTCGTAGTGTCCGAGTGTTACTTTATCCAGCGTGCTTTGATTTTTCATTTTGGGTTACAATGCGGTCTGTGACCGTACCCTCTCGGCTTCGTTTTTTCACCTTTCTACCATTTTTGCACTAGCGACCCTTATGAACCGCTAGTCCATGGTTTGTCGGGTATGTAATACCACAGTCCTTACATTCAAACTTTAATGATTTCTTGGGAGGTAAGTTTGTGATATTTACTTCGGTGGTCACAGAGAAACGTGGTCGTATCCCGAACATGCTGTACCTTCGTTTTTGGAACAGAGATGCAGTCGTAAATGTCTGGTAATCTTGACACCAGTGTTTGTGCTGCCGTGTTTTTCAGCAGGATATCCATTGCGACGAGGAAACATACTGACGATGGGACATCTCCTTGGATGACGCCTCGCCGAACTGGAACTTTTCGGATCGATTTATTTCAACTTCTTGTATTCGTTCTGACAAATGCTGAGTTGTACATGACAGTACTTCCCGGGCACGTCGAACTGTTTTAGTCTAGCTAGCAAGTATGACTGCAAAATAGAATCAAAGCAGCCACAAAATCGATGTATGCAATGATGGCTGACTCGTTTTCAGTTTCTGTTTGCAGCCTATGTGTCGACATGATTAGTATCAGTATGTTCTCCTGGCATCCACTTTTTTCACGGAAACCAACTTGCATGTCCGATACCAATCTAAATTATATACCCTTTTGGCAATTTCAAAATCATTTACCAGTCAATATATCTTTTATAATTATTAACACCTATATTACTTGCAATCGATGACGCACACTGACGCAGATTCAGATATCACAAGTTTTTTAGCCATTGACTTAAAATTATAGCCACTCCGGACCAGCTGTCTTTTTCATGTGGAATGTCCAAGTAAATCATTTGCATATTTTTTGTTTTCCAATTGTCTATTTCCGTCAGGCATAAGATACCCAAGCCTATATCCTTGGCCAAATCCGTTTTTATTCTTCAATGTTGTGTGCAAGACACACCTGGAAAACAGTTTCGAAAGAAATCGATTAAAACAAGAACAATTCACTAAAACTAAAACGTCCATTTACTAAAGGCAATACTAACAATAAGGATAATATCTTCTGACGCAAATCCAGTTATTGTCTATTATTCCATCACGACAATAACAATTACTGTCAATAAGGCTGTTGCTTGTGTAGCCTACTGTACATCAAAGAGCATGAAAGCACTGCGGGAAGGTTATTGTTTATACAGAGAGAAGAAGGTGACGTAATCGTAGAAATGACGATATTTTAATCAAATTCTGAGTGAGAAGTCACCAACAAATGAAAAATATATTCCATAAGAAAAATAATAATAATAACTACAAGGTTTGTGGGCGTAAATTTGATATACAACTTAAGGGTACCACTATCTCCACACCCTGCAATTTACAGCTTCCATTGTGTAATATTAATAAGGTGTATCTGACGTTATTTGAATCTATTCATGAAGCCTCTGTGGTCTAATTGTTTTGACGATCGCCTTGACAGCGAGAAGTCGCAATTTCGAATCCCGTCAGAGGCCTTTTATTACACAATTTCTTTATTTATTTATAGGACTACATTCGTTGAAAGCTGTGCTATACGATGTACTATCATGTCTTTTATTAGAACACTGTATTTACCTTTCTTTGATGATTTATATATAATTTAACAGTGTTACCGGATATCATGATTTATATTATAAGCTTTTATTGTTTAAAGCGGCAACTATTGTGTAATAGAGTATATCTGACGTTATTTGAATCCGTTCAACCATGAAGCCTCTGTGGTCTAATGGTTATTTACCTTGAATTTACCTTGAATCTTCGAGACTTAGAGATCAAATCTCATTTGTCCCTCAATCATTATCGAATCCTCTTCGGTCATATACGGGCAAAATTTAAG